TATGGTGTTTTTTATGAATGTTATCATTGTGCAATTAACTATAATATGAAGATTTGTTAAAAACCATCAAATATAAATGCTCAAGTAATTTTGGTTAGAACCAAAGAAGTGGACCAATGACATGCTTTGCACATAACATTTCCTTCTCCCGATGTTTCTATGAACATGTGCTCCTATAACATCCATCCACCATCTGTAAACAACTATCCTAAACTTGGAGTAGAGAAAGGAAATTGGACAATCACAGGGTCGCATCTAAGAGACGGACGAACATTGACTTCACACCTATGGGAAAATTAGAGTTGACAACTAACTTAACCGGTGTGGATTTGCACTGTGAGAAGAAGCCAGATGAGACCATGCAAACTTCCGACAGAAGTCCGGCAGGTTAACCAAAGGACCATCTTTCTTTAAGGCGACAATGCAAACCACTGCACAACCACCCAGACTCATTCATTGTAAGCAGAATAGCATTTACTCAACATAACTTCTAAATCTAGGCAATACAAATGTATATAAGATATTACACAAATTGTGAATCCAGGTCACCCAGTAGCTTTGCTAGAAAACCTGATAAATCTAAAGTATAAATATCTAACTAATTCACTTCTCAATATTTTCAGTAGGAAAGTTGTTCTGTTTGGTTTTCACCTTGTTTTCAATTTAAGGCAAATCTGTTTTCTTCATTTAGCACACTTCAATTCAAGTAAAGTAAATGTGCTTTTATGTAATGGATGTGAAATCAATTTCCTTGACAATATTAGAACAATTTAGAGTTTGAGGTTTCCTGTTGGTTTTCCTCGACTAAATGCAAAAGAACTGCAGCGAGGTGTCATCATGATAGTAGTGCACTTATCCCGCTTCAATGGCACCTTTATTATAATGGTTGTTATAACTTGAATAAGTGACAGAGAAAATATTATGGATGAGTGACTTTTCTCTTATTTCTGAGATGGAAGAAAAAAGTGGTGGCTTTTCCAGTGACGGATCAGATTTGTGCTCCACAATGGCTTTGATCTTAAGGCTTTCTGACTTTAATCTGAGCAGACCACACACATTCACACTCATATACTACACACTCACACACATCTTTTCATGAAGCAAAAAACAAAATGGACTTCATTCATTTCCAGCTGTCTATTTGTGGTTCTAGGAAAAGTCGGTGCAGAGAGAAAGCTTAAGTGAACTCTTGCAAAGAAAACTTTGGTTGATAAATAACAAAACATCGTCTACAAAAAGGAAAATAAAACCATGCTCATCTGTTTTCATTTATGCACAAATCGTGGTGAGTCAGACTGTACTATAACTCTGGGACTCTGCTTTTCATGCCTTTTGAAGCTGATGTCATGAAGGTTGCGTTTACAAATAAATATATATTCATATTTCTGAATAAAAATGACTAAATGTGAGAAAGAAAAGGACAACAAAGCTAAAATGGTAAAACTGAGAAGCTCAGTTTACTATTCTTTAGGCTCCCTTGGTTTTACTATTAATATATAACACAAACAAAATAGCACCACCGGGATATAATAAAGAAGTCTCTTATCTTTTACAGTGATTTCAAGATTGATACTCTGTAGGTGGAGAAGATTTAAAGGTCACACAATTAGAACAGGTTGCAGCAGGTTACTTATCAATATGTTGAGAAAAATGTTATTTAACATGGTGAGGAACACACATTTAACAAGTTCTGATTCGTTCATAGTTTCACTGCTTTGTGCTATAACGCACAAAACTGAAATGTACATCAAAAGACTCCCAGTGTTTCCCCTAGGATGGAGTCATAGCAGTGGTGCGAAGGCACGTGGGCCCAGCATAATGCGAGCGCGGAGCGTGTGACATTTTTGTGTGTGCGCGTGCGAAGTGCGCCCCGCCAATTTGTTTCTATGTGTCAGCACAAGAAAGGCTCTTGAGGCCTAGTACCAGGGCTGGTTCTAGCCAATTTGCTGCCCTAGGAATAAATGAAAAATCTCTACTAAAGACAAATACACTACAAAAACAGAAACGTATTGACATAGGTCATATACGTCAACATGGCTTCAAATGTATTCAGTATTGTATGAACATGTTTGAATTGGGACGTGGACGTCACATCCTCTAGGGGGGTCTGGGGGTCCGGGGGTATGCCCCCCCCCCCCCGGGAAGATATATTTTTTAACATTTTAAAGTAAAATGCTTCAATCTGGTGCACTTTGAGCACACAATTACTAGAGACCTGATCTAGGGGGTACAACACTAAAACACCCATATGAAAAAGATCGGTTTACATTTTAATATTGAAATAAGTATGTGAACATAAACAATAACCTATCATAGCCAATAACAAATAAATGTAACTTATTTTAATTTTGTTGTTCATTTATATCTTATTTTACCAGTTAACATTTATTAATTTATGCATATTGTGATATCTCTCCAACTTTAAACGATATTTGTGGTTTACTGTCCTACAGTATGCATTGGAATGATTTCAAACCTGTTTTTATTTATCCTAATAATTATAAAGGAGTGCCTTGGAAATAAGTGTTTACATCATTTGTAAACACATATTTGTTTGAGACCCACTGTGATAACTTAGACTAAAATTAACTATCTAAACACTCAGAGAGTCCTTTACCTCACTGAGCCTCTCAGTCTGACAGGAGAGCTCTCCTCCACCATGGTTGTAGAAACATCTACTTCTTATATCCGTTAGCGCAGCTAGCACCAGATTCTAATAACAACAGCGCCAGTACCGGTGCGCCCTCTCTCTCTCTCCCTCGCTCGCTCCCACGCTCGCACTTTGGCTGTGAGCTGCGGGTGCCTGATAAGCCAACATCCCCCACTTTCATCACTTACAGCGCCTATGTCAAAAATCGGCCCTGCCAGTACATACAGTGGCAATGTCTCAAGATTTTTGCAAAAATACACCTTTATTGAACATACTGTAACACAAATACTACAAATCCACTTCTTCTTTTTTTTGGGTACCTGGCTGGCGCCCCCTTGCTGTGCCGCCGCTATTTGTATATAGGGGAAACACTGCATCCCTTGCCTTTTGTTTGAACCAATGCTTAAGGGGGCCTTATTATGCGTTTTGGGCCCTTTCCTGTAGTGTGTTATAGCTTTTGTGCATGTGAATGGTCTGCAAAGCCTAAAATCCCAAAGTTCCCGACAGAGGGAGTTTCTCTCCCACACACTCCCCCGCTGCCTGAAACTCCTTCAATTGAAATCCTTTGTTTACTTCCGTTACATAGTGACATCACTCTTGCTTCTATTGGCCAACGCTCCAACACATTGTACGTGATAGGGAAATGGCTAAGGGGCGGGACATCTCTAAGCGGTTAAACAATCACAACAGAGCCGGCCAACTAACCAATTAGAGCAGACTAGGCTCTCGTTACAGGCAGAGGGTGAAAAGACCACCCAGGCAGTATGATAAAAACAAATACCTTTTTGAACAATAAAGCATGTACAAACTTCACTATAGACACAAACATCGAATATGAGCATCATAGAGCCCCTTTGAAGACTATCCATGATAACAACCATCATGTTAATGGCCTCCAAGATTATAATTACATTTACGTATAGTCCTCACTTCTGTTACATTATTCATGTTCCTCTGTCAGTTGTTAGTTTTAGTGTCCTCTGCTTTGTACCATATGAGGCTTTACTTTGTAGCCGCACAACAAAGAAAGCTCCTATGCTTTATATGAGCTCTGCCTCAGACTCTGATTGACTTTTCTGAAACAAAAGCTGATATAATCCGATAACATTATCCGGTTTCTACAAAAAGGGAGAGGGAAGTGCAATAAGATAAGAAACACCATAATATGATGCAAATGAGGCAACTGTTACTCCAAGATGGGTTTTGCAAATCCCAGCATGCATTAGCCTGCAGGGCACAACACCCTGGACAGGTGTAGCAATATTTACTTGATATTTTATTCATAAACCCTCAATATCATTATGGAGAAACAAGATTAAATTGAAAAGCAATTTAAGCTGCCTAAAATAGCAGACCATTTCTCTTATAAGGTCATCACTGTTGTTGACTGGGGGACAACATTATTTACATCTCATAATTGGTAACACAAGCCGATGGTGAAAGTGAACGGACAGAAAGATGGTTTATGTGTAAATGAGAAACCTCTTGGAATAAAACCTATAAAAGCACCAAACAAACACAACCGTCTTTTTTTGTGTAAGAAAATGTGCCATTTGCAGGGTATTTCAAGATTTCACTGGTGATGTTTGACTATGTTCACCAGCAATGCTGTTCCCTTTAAGTACATATATTAGTTCAGGTGGAGCACCTGTGTATCTCTGCTAGATTGTAAACTCAGACCAAAAGTTGCAGCGCAGAAGAAAACACTAAGAAACATCTCTTTGTCTTTAGGGCCATCTCCTTTCTGGTCATAATGCAATTCATTAGAAAACCATTCTTAAATTAATCAGCACCTTGGCCCTGGTTGAAATGTAAGCTCATTGATTGAGTGTTTGTACACAACACACACACATGCAGAGACTACAGTGCACTCAAAGACAACACAATGGATTTTGTGTATAACAGATCAATGTGCGAGCGAGAGTCAAAGGCATGTGAGTTTTGATTGGCGGGCCTGTTGGCATGGTGAAAGGCAAGCGTATGTACAATTTCCACCAATTCAGCTTCCTGGTTTTAGCCGTGTGACCTCCAAAAAGTCCAGACAAGCAGAGCCGCGGGTACAGCAAGCTAATCAAACAGCAAAGACCAAACAAGGCTACCTCTTTTCAGACTGTCTCAAAATAACAGGATTATAGTTTATCTCTCACCAGCAGTTATTTGATGCTGGAAGCATTTCAATTGCATTCCATCAAGAACTTACAACCAGATAAAGTGAGCCTCTGTAATTTAAGGCAGAGCCTTTGTAGCACAACACAGAATAGTATTGAAGCGTTATTGAAAAAACAGGGATGACAGGTTTCTTTTTATTTGCTGTCATGGTGTTACTGTGGTGAGGTAGCAGTGTCAATACCTGAAGTCAGACCAGTTATCTTCCTCTTCTTGCTGTTTTCAGCAGTGTTTTCCAGGGAAGGAGACTCAGTCAGCGGCCCGTTGGAGCTGCCGAAGTGGAGAGGGTCGTTGCCGGCCGTGGGGTCAAAGGGCAGAGCGCTGAGCCCTAAAAAAGACAACAACAACAACCGTGTTTTTTAAATAAAACTGCAGAATACAATCAGCCAACACAGCCAACACATTAACTTCAAGGTGAAAAAATACAGTACAAAAATAACCATTATTTTACAGTTTCTGCTTAGCTGTTTGATCAATAGCATTGACTTGTCAAATCCTCTGTATGCTGCAATTTTCGCCGTCTTTAATCTGACCGCCATTCACTGGTTGTTCATTTTCTTCTTACAGGCTTAGTAACCTTGCAACTAGATTGAATTTAATATATTGGCTGCCTTGCTACAAGACATCATTAACTTGAATGGGAAAAACAAACCTGGTAGATGTCTTTTTTTCTAGGAAAATCATTCTTAACTGAGCAAAATTAAGTATTCATTGTTTTTGCATTGGTATGCTTTATTACACAGAAAACTAAACAGGTATTTTTCCCAGTTGACCTTTGCTCCATATAAAATCTATTTAAAAAAATATCATAGACAAAGAATGATACAATTGACATAATGTGAATATATCTGATTCAAAGTAATTTGACAGTGTTGTTGACACTTCTCTACCAGAAATAACCCGAAAACATGAAAGAAGTGGAGATATAATGAGCAACAGAGAAAAAAACAACAACCAAAAAAAAGCCAAAGAGGCTCTGAATCCCAAACAAATATTTCTGTCTTTTCTGGAGAAAATATAATACAAATATTTTGGTGGGCAGACTGTCTACACATACTCATCGATATACAAACGAGTCTGGGATTTAATGCAAATCAACCAAGTCTGTATAGTGGTTTGAATACTTTAATATACACCTGCTCATTTTCTATCTATTCTGTTCCTTTAACAGACTTAATAGACTTGCACTGATCTATATCAATGGTCAAAACAGTCATATGTAGATATTATTTCCAAACAGACTGACATGCAAATCTGATCAAAAAATGCTGCTATTTGATTCAATGTATTATATGTCATATCCTGATTCACACATGTCTGCATGTCTCATTTGTTCAATATCAAACTCAGACATATCTTCTTTCCCTCCTAACATGTTTTTATTTTTCGGTTAGTAGATTGTTGAATGATTTATATTCCTCATGTCAAACATACTGTAATGAAATAATATTGACTATAATTGGACAAGTGATGTATCCCTGCAACGTTCTTCTAAAAGTTGCATAATTTATGGAATCGTGGCATTGCAATGAAAGGTCAAAATTATTCATTAAAATGTAACCTTTCAGCTTCCCTTTGACATTAACATCTATCTCTGGGGTGGCGTTTTTTTTACTAAGTTTCTACTAAATGAACCATTTGGAACATTAAGAATAAATGATCAGCAGCTTATGTTTGTGTTCTACCAAATTTCCTTTTCAATGTCAAAGAATTAAACGATAAAGAAGAAGAAAATAATTCAATGTTTAGAGTTTTTACGAGGATCCAGCGTCATCTTGCAATGATAAATAGATTTTTGTGAAAATTGGTAAACAAATAAACAAACTAGTGAGTATTGAAATGCAGTGTTTCCCACAGAATTTGATTATATTTGTGGGGGCAACGCACCCCCCCCCCCCCCCCTTCAAATAAGAAAATACATGCAAGTTCATGGCTACTGTAGACAACGTTCTTGTTCTGCTCTGTGTTGCGTTGTTAATGAGTGAGACACACCGGAAAGGTGCCAGCAGACATTGACGTGAGATTGGCTTCATGCATTTATGGATACGGCTCAGCCTCTATCACTGTTATGTCTCATTCTATATATTGGACAAGACCAGGCCCATAATGTGTTTACAAGGGATTTTAATAGCTACCTTCATTCAGCTGCACCTCTTCCCCATTCACTATTAGACAAGGATAGATGGAGCCTTTCTCTGCTTGGTTTTTCACCAGTCTGTCTTTTTGTTTCACTGTGGACTCCTCCTCTATCTCTGTATGTGTGGCATGTTTTTATGTGAGTATACATGTGTCTATGTCCATCAATCCATCCATCCGAGCAACGTTCAATACTGGCCACTCAGCTCCTCTAATCTACTTCAAAATCAAAAGAACGTTTCGTAACGGGCTGAATGTAGTGTCCAGTTCTTGTTTGTTTCTACATGGAGTGGAATCGATCGGAAATTAAGTTATTTTAGAAGACCAGTAGGTGAGTGCATTTGAGCAACAATTGTGTACAGGTAGCTACTTCAGATATACACAAAGATACTCACTTTACAAGTTCACTAGGTAAAGAGAAGCATCAAATTGTCAAAACAAAATAAGCTCAAATTCGGGAAAGTTGAGTAGACTCCATCCTTTCAGCTGTAACATTTCCATCAAACCAGATAAAAAGGAGACAGGATAAACTCAAGAAAAGGGATTTGAGTAAATTAAAGACAGCCATGTGTGTGCCTCCTCTAATTACAGCTATGAAACAAACTAGAATACTTTTTATTTGCATTTAAGATAAGAGCTGGTCTCAGCAGACTGAATCAAGGCGTGTTTTCATGCAAAAGTATCCCCAAAATTGAAGTACACTACCTAAGCATAAACAACATCACAGCTGTTCACTTAACTTCCAATTTAGTGCATAAACACACCATTTAGGAGAAAATGAACAAATCAAAGTCTTATGATGAAACACCTTCATCTTCGCAGCTATTTACATTCTAAAAGTAACCTTGAGAACAGTCCGTTATCTCGAGTCCGTGACACTTCAAACATTTACCTTCAGTCCCCCCTGTAAACACAGTTCTTTAAATTACCAGTGTTGCTTCCCTTTATGGAAAACAGAATCCTTATCAAAGCCTGTCTCTGACACTGCATATGAATGCAAATACGAGTATTCACAGATGCTTGAGCCTGCGCCTGATTTCCCCCCCTAAAAAGTCCTTGAGCTGTATATGTAACGCAACTGTCTGGGGTTACATCAAACACACTGACGCACACAGTCCCTGAAAGCATCTATTTCCTGAGACGTCTGGAGCCCATCAACATCCATCTGCCTGAGACTTCTCTCTTTTTCTCTGGTGCCGCATGACAGACCGAGCAAAGTGTCAGTTAATCTTCTGTTGCTGATTTGATATTACTGCTGTCAGCCTACAAACTGATCTTTGTCAACGTTTTATCCAAGACATTCAAAAGTATTAAAAAAGGCAACATGAGGGCCAAAAGATCAGTCTGTGAAACAGAGAAAGGAAGAGAGAGTAGGTGTGTACACAGGTGCGCTGATTCTCAAAGCATGAAGCGATGTGTGCCCCACCCTAATGTGTCATTCAACCATCCCCTTGCCAATCTAGACAACCTCAGTAAATGTGGTGCTTTTTAGCTGTTATTTGTATGGTTGTGCTGTTTTGAGGGCATTGTGTGGTTGTGTTTTTACAGAGCTACCATCTGTATTCCTTCTCTCCATCTGTCCAGGCAGATGGATATGTGCTTTTTTTCCTCCAAAAGCCTTAACCTTAGCTTCCTTGTTATGACTGGAAGTGGTCAGACACATTCTGAAGGGAAACACAAACAATGTAAGAGGTCAAGATGAGTTATGGTGTTGTGCGGCCAAATGATAAATGATGCTGTAATATTGCCAGCAATTAGCAGTTTCTGGAAATGCTAGACCCATCCAAGTGTTTTTATGCCACATACAGTATAGTATGCACAACATTATAAATATTGACTATAAATGACAAGTACTGACAGAGATTCCCTGATTTAAACGTCACGTAAACATGTTGGAGTTCCTTGAGGCAGAAAATATCTCCTGTGGAAAATTGTTGAATATCACATTTGATGAATAATTAATGCAGCAGTGTAAAGACTATATCCATTTACTTTAATGTGCTCTCTGATATAGCTCTCATATATATTTTTACATTCTAAAAGCCTGCACCCCCACTAATGGAAATACACCTGATTCAAATTTTATTTTATGAAAGTTCCCCTGAAGCTGCTATAATCGATATTCCTCCGTGTTGATAATGGATCAGAAGTGAAACGTAATGTTCTTTGAAAGGGGTTGCTTTCAGTGCCAAAACCAAAACATAACTATGGATTTCCTTTCAGCGCTACAGATTGTCTTTAGCATCTTTAAGCTTAATGTTATGGTTTTCCTATAGTTTGCCTGCGGTTTTCCTATTTTGGTTCAACTTTTAATGCAGATTGAACTAAACTACCCTAACTTTAAATTAACTTCATTCATATTCAAAAAAGGGACTTTAAGGAAATTACTATTGTTTTACCGTTTTATTTGAGTGCTGGGGTCGGGAGCAAAATGTCAGGTTTTCTTGTGGCCAGAATTACAAACTTGTGACAACACAGACCAGTGAGATACTAGGGTGTACCATAATGTGTCTTCTTTAATATATATATATACCTAGTTTTTTTAGGGAAATGATTAGTTGAATACTTCATGGAAAGCTGAGTAAAAAATGTCAATATGAGAAAAATAATCAAATGAAAATCTCAGAATGTGCAATGAACATTTCCGAATATTGAATGAAATCTACAAATAAGGAAAGAGATTGAGACTGAATGGGTACATTCAGCAAGAAATTACATCCTTTAATCCTTATCAGCTTTGCACTTCTGGACACAAAAACCCCCTCTTTGCTATTTTTGTGCCACATTTCTTGACACTTCTTCAGTATCTTTCTGCATGCAGGCAGACATGTATTTACTGAAGGGAGACACACTAAACCCAATACGAGAGAGATGACATAAAGAAAACCACCAATCATTAAAAAATACCATGTAATACTAACCCTAATCTAAACTGGCTAATGGGTAGGGAACAACAGGACAATGTCTGCTGAAAATGATACCACCTGTACAGATGAAGCACTCCAGATCAGACTCAGGTGGGTGTGTCCCAGTCAAAAGCCCAGTGGATGCCAGTGGCTGGGGGTGTTGCCAAATTGCAAGAGGGCATTGCCCAATTTCCCCATTTGTTCAATTACAGGATTTAACCATAAGATGGCGCTTCATTCACAAAATACACAAAGACAACTGGGTGTTGATGAACTTAGTCTGTTT